CCACCCTTGGTGCTTCAGGGCGCAGCGGTCTCCAGCGAGTCGCTGATGCTATGCTGCGGCACAGCATCGGTTTCGCGCCCTCTGAGGGGGGCCTTAGAGCGGCCAGTTCAGGTAGTTCCTGCCATTATGTTTCAGGCTCCGGAATTGGCTGTCTCGATAACACCAGAGACCAGCCTCGAGAGGCTGGTTCCCTTAGTAAATTTTCTGGCAGCGTGGAAGCTTCTGCCGAATATTTCTCATTGGGTCCTGCAGATTGTAGAGAAAGGATACAGAATCCAGTTTGGTTCTCGTCCTCCTCGTTACAACGGGGTGCTGCCCACAGTGGTGCATCCCGAGCAGGCTCTGGTAATGGAGCAAGAGGTAAAGGCCCTGTTAGCAAAGGAAGCTATAGAACAGGTGTACTCACCCGACAGAGAGTCGGGTTTTTACAGCCGTTATTTCATTGTTCCAAAAAAGGATGGGGGGTTGCGTCCCATTTTAGATCTTCGTCTGTTGAATCGTTCAGTACAGAAACTCAAGTTCAAGATGCTGACACTCAAACAGATCGTGACTCAAATCAGATCCGAGGACTGGTTTGTCACGATAGATCTGAAGGACGCCTACTTCCATATCTCCATCCTCCCTCAGCACAGGAAGTTCCTAAGGTTTTCTTTCGGGGGCAAAGAATACCAATATCGGGTTCTTCCTTTCGGTCTAGCTTTGTCACCCCGCACGTTCACGAAATGCGTGGATGCAGCTCTAGCCCCTCTCAGGCTTCAGGGCATACGTATTCTGAACTACATCGACGACTGGCTGATTCTGGCGGAATCAGAGCAGTTGGCGGTTCGGCACCGAGGTGTCGTTCTCGCCCATGTGCAGATGTTGGGGTTGAGGCTCAACGCCAAGAAGAGTGTTCTTTCTCCAGTACAGAGAACCACTTTCCTTGGTGTGGTATGGGATTCAGTGACGATGCGGGCCACTCTATCGCCCGTTCGTGTAGCTGCTATCCTGACAGCCACCAAAGAGCTAAAGCTAGGCCAGTCACGCACTGTGAAACAGTTCGAGAGACTGTTGGGTCTCTTGGCGGCAGCGTCCAACGTGATTCCTTTTGGCCTGCTGTACATGAGACCTTTACAGTGGTGGCTAAGGACCAGAGGGTTCTCCCCGAGGGGAAACCCACTTCGTATGATCAAGGTCACGCGGCGGTGCCTTCGTGCCTTAATTATATGGAGGAAACATTGGTTCTTAACCCAGGGTCCGGTATTGGGAGCTCTTTGCCATCGTGTTACGATCTCGACAGATGCTTCCCTCACCGGCTGGGGAGCGGTAATGGAAGGCCGCTCGGTTCAGGGTCTGTGGAAAAGTCATCATCTTTTGTGGCACATCAATTGCCTGGAGATGATGGCTGTCTTCAATGCGTTGAGACAGTTTCTCCCAGACCTGAGGGGCCATCATGTGCTTGTACGAACAGACAACACATCAGTGGTCTCTTATCTGAACCGTCAGGGGGGTCTGCGGTCGCGTCCGCTCTGCAAACTGGCGCACCAGATCCTCCTGTGGTCTCTGGGGAAGGTACTCTCCCTGAGGGCAGTGTATATTCCTGGGGACCAGAATGTGGGGGCAGACATCCTGTCGAGGCAGGAGCTGAGGCCAGGGGACTGGAGACTCCACCCCGAGGCGGTGGAGAAAATTTGGGAGTTTTACGGCCAAGCAGAGGTGGATCTGTTTGCGTCTCAGCACACGACGCACTGTCCACTTTGGTTCTCCCTTACTCACCCAGCCCCCCTGGGGCTGGATGATATGGTGCAGACGTGGCCGAGGCTACGTCTGTACGCATTTCCCCCTGTTGCTCTGCTCCCAGGAGTTCTGGAACGAGTCCGCCAGTACGGAATAAGCCTACTGCTTGTAGCACCACGCTGGCCGAGTCGGATCTGGTTTGCGGACCTGATCCATCTCTTAGACGGTCCTCCCTTGGAGATCCCGATCAGGAGAGACCTTCTGTCTCAGGCCGGGGGCACAATATTTCACCCTCGACCAGAGATTTGGAACCTGTGGGTTTGGCCTCTGAGGGGGCCCAACTCATAGAGAGTGGTCTCTCAGCTGAGGCTGCTGAGACCATCCTAAGCTCCAGAGCTCCAGCTACTAGGAAACTATATGCGCTGAAATGGAAAGTTTTTTCTGTATGGTGTCACCGACATCAGTGGGATCCGGTTAACTGTTCTGTGAACACAGTACTCGAGTTCTTGCAGGAGCGCTTTACGTCAGGTTTATGTCCTTCCACACTTAAGGTTTACGTGGCGGCCATTGCGGCTTACCACGCCCTGGTTGGGGGTACATCGTTGGGTCGAGACCCCCTGATTACACGTTTCCTTCGTGGCACATTGAGGCTGAGGCCTGCAACTCGCACTAGGGTGCCAGCTTGGGATTTGGCAATAGTACTAGAAGGCCTGTCTAGGGCTCCATTCGAGCCCTTAGATTCGGTTTCAGAGAAATTTCTTACCCTTAAGACTATCTTTCTGCTAGCTATTTCATCCCTTAAGAGAGTTGGAGACCTTCAGGCCCTTTCGGTTTCCCCCACTTGCCTTGAGTTTGCACCGGGGATGGTCAAGGCATTCTTATATCCAAAACAGGGATACGTCCCTAAGGTGCCGACCTTGATTCCGAGGCCTATCGTGCTGCAGGCTTTCTGTCCTCCTCCTTTTACATCTGCGGACCAGGAAAGGCTGAACCTCTTGTGTCCAGTGCGAGCACTGGATACTTATGTTCATCGGACATCTTCTATGAGGAAGTCCGACCAGTTATTTATTTGCTTTGGATCACCTAAGAAGGGTCTTCCTGCTTCTAAACAGACGGTTAGTAAGTGGATAGTCGAGGCTATTTCACTTGCATACGAGTACTCTGACCATCCGTGTCCCTTGGTGGTCAGAGCTCACTCAACGAGGGGTATGGCGGCCTCTAAAGCCTTGTTATTTGGGGTTTCCCTCCAAGACGTTTGTGATGCGGCAGGCTGGTCCTCACCGCTCACATTCGTTAGGTTTTACAGCTTAGACCTGGATGCTGCCCCAGGTTCTCAGGTGCTTAGTGCTTAGTTCCAACAGACTGACACTCAGGTACTTGGAATTCTGGCGTTTTGGGTATTCTCGTTCCCAAAGCGTCAAGTGACGCATCGCGAGTCCCCTCGAAAGGGAACGTCTCAGGTTACTACTGTAACCATAGTTCCCTGAGAAAGGGAACGAGACGATGCGTCACCCTGCCATACTTCCTGCTTCCCTGTGATCGGCTTGCTTCGACTTTTTGAAGCTAATGCCGCTTTTCACCGGGTGAGCCTTTATCCCTTCCTGGTCATGACGTCACCCGCCCGTGACGCTCATTCTTTCCATTGGACTAGTTGACATTGATGCTCAGACGCATGCACGCTGGGGGCGTTCCCAAAGCGTCAAGTGACGCATCGTCTCGTTCCCTTTCTCAGGGAACTATGGTTACAGTAGTAACCTGAGACGATTTTTCTCCATATAATGCACTTTGCTGGGCACCAAACGGTTCAAGGTCCAAAAGACAGTTTCAGTGAAAACTGCAAACTGTTCAAATGGCTTTAAACGACACCAGACGATGAATAAGGGTCTTATCAAGCGAAACGATCGCTCATTTAAAAAAGAAATTACAAAGTTTAAGTTTTATAAGCTCAAATCCTCGCCTTGCTCTGTTCTGCCTGACTCTCCTGTTCGAACTCGTTCATCAAAATGAACGAATCTTTTTCCGAGTCAATTCGTTCATTTCGTTCGTTAAATGAATCAAATGACTCGAAAAAAGATTTGTTCATTTTGATGAACGAGTTCGAACAGGAGAGTCACGAACGTGCATCACAGAACAGAGAAAGGCGAGCATTTGACATTATTAAACTTAAACTTTGTTATTTATTTTTGAAATGACCGATCGTTTCGCTTGATAAGACCATTATTCATCGTCTGGAATCGTTTAAAGCCCTTTGAACAGTTTGCAGTTTGCACTGAAACTGTCTTTTGGACCTTGAACCGTTTGGTGCCCAGCAAAGTGCATTATATGGAGAAAAATCCTGGAATGTTTTCATCAAAAACCTTAATTTCTTTTCGACTGAAGAAAGAAAGACATGGACATCTTGGATGACATGGGGGTGAGTAAATTATCAGCAAAAGTTTTTTTAAAAGTGAACTAATCCTTTAAGTAGGCTACATGTACATTGACAAGAATTTTACGATTTGAAAAAACTGTTTTCTATTTTTCCAATGTAATTTATACTGGTTATCGCATAGCTGAATTACTCCAGTTTTCAGTGTCACATGATCCTTCAGAAATAATTCTGATATGCTGATATGCTGCTCAAGAAACATTTCTTGTTATTATCTTATTATTGTTGAAAACGTTGTTCATGATTAATGTTTTTTTTTCTGCAAACCGATACTTTTTTTTCAGGATTCTTTGATGAATAAAAAGTTCAAAAGAATAGCATTTATTTGAAACATGTTTTTTATTGTCACTTTTGATCACTTTAAGTCCTTATGAATACAATTATTATGCTTTAATTTAAGGCGTCCTTATTACAGTGCAATTATCTATTTAAGTACTGAGGAATAATAATTAACTACATAAACTTACTATATAATTATGCATAATTTATAGTTATTACTATAGTAAATACATGTAACGTGTAACAAGGACACTAAGTGTTACCTTAATTTCTTTCAGAAAAAAAAAAATTCTTAATGACCCCAAATTTTGGTAGTGTATAATTCCTTGATAGACCTTGAAGTACCATGTCAATACTATAGTATTTGAATTTGGCAATCATTCAGTACCATGTTATTATAAATCACAGTAGTCTTGCCATCTAATGCACGGTATCACCATGCAAGGAATATTATAATCTACTTACAGAAATGTTCACTTTCAAGACAACTACTTGTTTCTTGGGCATCAGAGTGTCTATGTTCACATACAGACATTGGTTGAGAGAGCAAGTGAGTCTATTGTGCCTGTCACTCTTGTTGCACCAGCAGCTATCTGAAACATTTTGAGCACACAGGCTTACGCTCAGGGTTAGCACGTCTCTCTCACTAATAATGCTCCTCACAAACGGGCTTAACCAATGGAACACCTGCAGAAAAGTTTAAACTGCCACCGACAGACACAATCGCCTGCTGGGAATGGGATTATCGGCCAGGTAACCCAGAAAGAACAAAGACACCTGAAGGTAAATACAATTTATGTTTGTCAAACGCTTAAAGGAGTTTGGTTCGATTCATGATGCCAGTGCTTTATCTAGGATAAGTTTAACTTTTGACTTTCTTTTAACATCTATAAATGGATTTGTTTAAGTGGGCAGCAGTTCGTTTGAGGGGCAATAACGGTTAGCCGGTTACTGAAAAGGGAAAAAGAGAGAGAGAGAGAGAAATAATGCACTTGAGTAAACATCCACAGAAATTGAACTTCTAGCCTCAAGACACTGAGGCGTTATCCTTTTCATTTTTAAGTCGTGTCTTGTTTGTTAATCGAACTTTATCGAGTCTTTGAAAACAGCTAGGATTGCTTGACTATTACAGCAGACCCTTCGAGCTGATTTAATAAAATTACCATCAACAAATCCAAACATACTATTTTATCATATAAAACAGATGACTCTATACTGTTACGTTGGTTTATTTGTGTGTAGTTTATCATCCAGCTGTAGCAGCAGGGTATGTGAATTCCTGCCCTGACCTCTTGACCTGTATTTGGTGAAGCCCCACCGACCGACCTTCAGCGAGAGCCCGCAGCCTCTCTGGTGCCGCTGTTTTCAGACACCATATCAGATCCCAAGCCAGCAGGCAGCAAAGCCACGTCCCATTAGCACTTCACACACATGGGAGTCAGAGGCGCTCGCTGAGGGGTGTGTCAGGGCTCCATCATGCTTTCTAACTGGCTGTGAATCAATGTAACTTTAAAGACAACAGATGCACCATGGGTGTAGATTTTAATTTGGATGACCCTGGCAAAGTTGAGGGACTACTGAATAATACTAATATAACAATTGTAGTTATATATAGTGATTAATCAGACAGACAGACAGATAAAAAGACTGATTAATAGATAGATAGACAGAATGACAGGCAGAATGACATATTATATAACAATTGATAGAATAGAAGGAAATGATAGACACAAAGACAGACAGGCGGAATGGAACATTAAGGCCCCGACATACTCACGCAAAGATCTTTTTCGTTCTTCATTTAGGGGTAGAACGAAGTTCGAAATACGTGAGCAGCGATATACTGTTGTTAGCGAACATCCAACGCCCCCCACACTGCTGAAAGCGACGTTTAGATGAATATGTAAATATGCCTTTCTCTCAAGAACAAAATAAACACACAAAATTGAGAAAACAGCAAACATTTTTTAATAAGGCATAAGAAAAGCATCTGATCATAGCAACGTGGATATATTTGCATGAGCTCTGCAATTCGCCACTCTAATAGCCACGTCACGTTTATTTTTATAGCACTTTATCCACTAGATTGCTTAAAATCAAGCAGATTTACTGTATTAAACATGAAAAACAGTGTCAGTGTCTCCTTTCACCAGAAGTACAACTTCATTTTCTACTATAAAGCAGCTCCTCCAGTGTGTTCATGTTTTTACTCGTGGACGTCTGAACTCCACGGATTGAACAGAAGAAATGGAAGGGAAAAGACGTCTACGTGAAAGAAGGCGGAGCCTCCGCGCACACTTACCTATTACATAATCCCCACGGACCAATGGTAGCACAAAGGTGTTTACCAGCCGGAGCAAACTTTTCCGGAAAATGCGCTGTTGGCAAGCTGTTTCGAACTCCCAAAACAAACCTTTGTTCGAAATGATGTCATATCAGTTCTTTCTTCGATTTCGCTTGAAGTATATCAGGGCCTTTAGAACAACAGACTGACAGAACATTGGAACGACAGAAAGAAAAGTATGACGACAGACAACATTAGAACGAAAGACAGACAAAACATTAGAACGAAAGACAGACGGACAGAACATGAGAACAGACACAACATTAGACATCTAATGTTCTGTTCTAATGTTCTTTTGAAGGAAAGAGACAGAGCATTAGAACAACAAACAGAACATTAGAACAACAGACAGAACATTAGAACGACAGACAAAATATTAGAACAAACAGAACATTAGAACAACAAACAGAACATTAGAACAACAGACAGAACATTAGAACGACAGACAAAATATTAGAACAAACAGAACATTAGAACAACAAACAGAACATTAGAACAACAGACAGAACATTAGAACAACAGACAGAACATTAGAACAACAGACAGAACATTAGAACAACAGACAGAAGATTAGAACAGCAGACAGAACATTAGAACAACAGACAGAACATTAGAACAACAAACAGAACATTAGAACAACAAACAGAAGATTAGAACAGCAGACAGAACATTAGAACAACAGACAGAACATTAGAACAACAAACAGAACATTAGAACAACAGACAGAAGATTAGAACAGCAGACAGAACATTAGAACAACAGACAGAACATTAGAACAACAAACAAAACATTAGAACAAACAGAACATTAGAACAACAAACAGAATATTAGAACAACAGACAGAACATTAGAACAACAGACAGAACATTAGAACAACAGACAAAACATTAAAACAACAGACAGAACATTAGAACAACAAACAGAACATTAGAACAACAGACAGAACATTAGAACAACAGACAAAACATTAAAACAACAGACAGAACATTAGAACAACAAACAGAACATTAGAACAACAGACAGAACATTAGAACAACAGACAGAACATTAGAACAACAGACAGAACATTAGAACAAACAGAACATTAGAACAACAAACAGAACAACAAACAGAACATTAGAACAGCAAACAGAACATTAGAACAACAGACAGAACATTAGAACGACAGACAGAACATTAGAACAACAGACAGAACATTAGAACAACAGACAGAACATTAGAACGACAGACAGGACTTTAGAACAACAAACAGAACATTAGAACAACAAACAGAACATTAGAACAACAAACAGAACATTAGAACAACAGACAGAACATTAGAACAACAAACAGAACATTAGAACAACAGACAGAACATTAGAACGACAGACAGAACATTAGAACAACAGACAGAACATTAGAACGACAGACAGGACTTTAGAACGACAGACAGGACTTTAGAACAACAAACAGAACATTAGAACAACAAACAGAACATTAGAACAACAGACAGAACATTAGAACGACAGACAGGACTTTAGAACAACAAACAGAACATTAGAACAACAAACAGAACATTAGAACAACAAACAGAACATTAGAACAACAGACAGAACATTAGAACAACAAACAGAACATTAGAACAACAAACAGAACATTAGAACAACAGACAGAACATTAGAACAACAGACAGAACATTAGAACAACAGACAGAACATTAGAACAACAAACAGAATATTAGAACAACAGACAGAACATTAGAACAACAAACAGAACATTAGAACAACAGACAGAACATTAGAACAACAAACAGAACATTAGAACAACAGACAGAACATTAGAACAAACAGAACATTAGAACAACAAACAGAACAAAAAACAGAACATTAGAACAGCAAACAGAACATTAGAACAACAAACAGAACATTAGAACAACAGACAGAACATTAGAACAAACAGAACATTAGAACAACAAACAGAACAACAAACAGAACATTAGAACAGCAAACAGAACATTAGAACAACAGACAGAACATTAGAACAAACAGAACATTAGAACAACAAACAGAACAACAAAAGAACATTAGAACAACAAACAGAACATTAGAACAACAGACAGAACATTAGAACAAACAGAACATTAGAACAACAAACAGAACAACAAACAGAACATTAGAACAGCAAACAGAACATTAGAACAACAGACAGAACATTAAAACGACAGACAGAACATTAGAACAACAAACAGAACATTAGAACAGCAAACAGAACATTAGAACAACAGACAGAACATTAGAACAACAGACAGAACATTAGAACAACAAACAGAACATTAGAACAACAAACAGAACATTAGAACAACAGACAGAACATTAGAACAACAAACAGAACATTAGAACAACAGACAGAACATTAGAACAACAAACAGAACATTAGAACAACAGACAGAACATTAGAACAACAAACAGAACATTAGAACAACATACAGAACATTAGAACAACAGACAGAACATTAGAACAACAGACAGAACATTAGAACGACAGACAGAACATTAGAACAAACAGAACATTAGAACAACAGACAGAACATTAGAACGACAGACAGAACAACAAACAGAACATTAGAACGACAGACAGAACATTAGAACAAACAGAACATTAGAACAACAAACAGAACATTAGAACGACAGACAGAACATTAGAACAAACAGAACATTAGAACAACAAACAGAACATTAGAACAACAAACAGAACATTAGAACAACAGACAGAACATTAGAACAACAAACAGAACATTAGAACAACAGACAGAACATTAGAACAACAGACAGAACATTAGAACAACAGACAGAACATTAGAAAGACAGACAGAACATTAGAACAACAGACAGAACATTAGAACAACAGACAGAACATTAGAACAACAGACAGAACATTAGAACAACAGACAGAACATTAGAACAACAGACAGAACATTAGAAAGACAGACAGAACATTAGAACAACAGACAGAACATTAGAACAACAGACAGAACATTAGAACAACAAACAGAACATTAGAACAACAGACAGAACATTAGAACAACAGACAGAACATTAGAACAACAGACAGAACATTAGAACAACAAACAGAACATTAGAACAACAGACAGAACATTAGAACAACAGACAGAACATTAGAACAACAAACAGAACATTAGAACAACAAACAGAACATTAGAACAACAGACAGAACATTAGAACAACAAACAGAACATTAGAACAACAAACAGAACATTAGAACAACAGACAGAACATTAGAACAACAAACAGAACATTAGAACTTACTGTATTTTTGATCAAATAAATGCCACAAAGAAAAAACATTGTGCATTTGTATAGTTTGATATTAAAATGTCGCTCATTCTTTTGAGGAACAGGCTCTCGTGACAAGCACACAGTGTGCTGCATCTTCAAGTGGT